AGTCTCCGGGCCGCATGAACCCCCTTCTCTAGAGCTGAGACCTTTGACAAGGCATCAGTTTGCCTCTGGAGATGTCCCTTGGCACCCGCCCCCCGCAACCCAAGAGTTTCACTGTATTTCCTAATTATTGAAGGGCTGCCCTCTTGATGTCAAGCAGGGGGCTGGCATGCTGAAAAATGGGAGGCAGCCCTCCTGCCCCGCTCGTCTTGGGTGGGAAAGGGCAGTTCTGCACGCAAGAGCCCTGACCCGGCCCTGCTGCACGCATAGGGTCTGGGCACACAACCCCCTTGAGCATTACCCGTTTGCCTCCTGGGAATGGGTGTTTTGTGCCTGGCCCTCCCCATGAAGACAGGCGTTTTCTGAATGGGCCATGGGCCAGAGTCGCTCCAGATCTTGTGTGGGGCCACCCAGGACGCTCTCAAATTCCCAGTGTGCCCACCAAGCCCAAGGATCTGTGGGGAGCCCTCCTGCCCTGCACCTGCTGCTGGTGCCCCGGGCCGGTTGCATACAAAGGCCTTGAAAAGCCCTGATGAAAAGCCGCAGACCAAGTCAGGGCAGGGGAGGCAGAAACCAAGGACCAAACCCGAGGAGCACTCCTCTGAACCAACCCTTGGTCCATTTTGGTCCACACACACTCTGAAGAAAAAAATCTGTGGCCATGGGCAAATAGAAGCTTTTTCAGGCAAACCCTCTTCTAGAATGCCAGGGAGTTCTGAGCACCAGCTCTCTCCAGGAAACAGGCCTAAGGACATGGCAGGGAGGCCTGCAAGCCTCTGCCTGGGAGAAGGCGAAGGCAGACCCGGGGCAGGAGGAGCCTGGAGGGAGAGGTCCTCCCCCCGGCAGGTCAGCTGGACATCTGCTTTCAGCCGCTCGGCTGTGGTGCTTCAGACAGGGAGGGGAGGCCACCCCCGAACACCCCCTTTACCCTTCCGCAACCTTGGAGAAATGGCTGGAGCAGCTCTTTCCACCAGCTGCAAGGGGGGGTGGGCGAGTGGGAGATCTGATTCAGCTTTTCAGCTTTGGACCTGGGGACCAGCAGCTGCTCAGGGGCCACTGGGTCATTCTGGAAGTGGTCAGAAACAGCAGAGCAGGAGGCCGGGAGGAGGAGCAGGGCCCGATCCCATTCTTGGCAGCGGCCTGGGAGAACTGCGAGGCACCTGTTTCTTCTGGACTGGGAAACACAGTGTAGAGGAGTCTCCCTGAAAGTTGGATCAGAGGTACAGGTGGCTTTCTGGGCGCAAGCTGTTCCTTAGCAGCCGGGGCGCCCCCTCTGCCGCACCTCTGCAGAAGAGCCATATGTAGGAGCTGGAGTGCCACTGCGCATCCCTGGTGCAGGCCGGAAGGGATGGCCCTTCCCCACCCACTAGTCCTGGCTGCCTGGTCGGATGCAGGATGCGGAGGTCAGGACGCTCCCGAGGAGCAGAGGGCATCATTGTTAGAATCGACCGCTCCATGCGCTGCGAGGCACAGAGGCTTTTAAACAATAGCGTCTTCAGCATCAGCCTTCACACGCTGTGAGACTCATGCAGACCTCGCTGCAAACCTCACAAGATTTTGCCTTTGACGATGCTACAGACCCGAATCTCAAACATATCACCTGAGGATTAGGCATTAAAGGCTGAATGTGGTGCAGTGAACAGAACTCTGGATTGCGGCTGGGCGGGCACCCTGCCCTGCCCTGCCCTGCCCAGTCATTAGGCTCATGGGGAGGTTCTGCGAAGGATCCTCCGACTCCCCCTCACCACTTGTGAAGGGGGGGCTGTCCCACAGGGGGCACCCCAGAAGGTGGAGCTGGGACCCAAGGCCCTCCAGCGTGCCAGAACAGCTGCCCTGAGGGGCTGGCCTTTGCGCCCCTCCCCAGGTGGAATGGCAAGGGGTGTCCCACCCCAAAGGTGCAGCTCTCGATAAGTGACAGCTTTCGATAAGTTATTCTGGTGCCTGAGGCAGAAAATCTCACCTGGACTTTTCCTGGGGGAGACAAATGAGTGTAAGGATCAATGGTGCATGCAGCACCCCAAAACCCTCTGCCGGAGGTCACTCCACCCACGCTGGTGCGGCTGGCCATTCTGCTTCCAGCACTGTCGGAGGATTTGGGAATCCCAGGAAGACAGCCAGGTGCACGGGCTTTGTGCTCACAGGACTTCTCTGGGCAAGCTGTGGGAACTCGTTGACTCCTGTCCCAAGCAAGGGAAAAAGGCAGCCCATTAAAGGAGCACGGCAAGCCGCTTTCTCTTTTCCACGTGGGCTGGGCCGGCCTGCCCAGTTTCAGTCCTGCGCCCCTTGCCCCACACAGCCCCCTCCTGCTGGGCTGCCCAGCTCTCCCTCAAATGGGTCCTCGGGAGAATCGCTCCCCCTCCAGGCACAGGAGTGGCCTTGCACTTTGGAGATGGTGGGAGACTCATTCTGCTGAGAGGACAGACAGGAGAGACAGGCCGACTTTTTCTGGTGTCTGAACAAAAAGCCCTATTTTAATCTTGTGCTTGAGACAGAAAAGTGGCCCAGTGAAACAAAATACCACAGAGTGAAGCCACACAGAAGGCGAAGGCTATATATAGTATTTCAGGGTAGCTTCTCACAGGACAGCCTGGTAGGAGGATTAATGCAGCGTTCATTGATCCACAGCGGCTCAAGTGCATTAACCATGTATGTTTGGGGTGCAGCCATCTTCCCTGAGCTCTTATGCCAGCCGTGCAGGCCTCAAAAAGCGATTTCCTCTTAGATTGTCTCCAGCGAAAGGGGCTCAGCAGAATGCCACAGCAGGGCTGCCATGCCCCGCCCAAGCCCCCCTCCTGGCTTTCCCTCCGCAGCCACCCTGCACCCTCCAGAGATCCCACGGCCACCTCCACCATAGCAGCCTCCTTCAAGACAGCCCTCTAGGCCTGCTTGGGGGTGAGGGGTGGGCCGCTGAAGGGTGTCCCATTTGGTCTGCCCCCCCCCCCCCCCATGGACACGGGCTGTGTCCGTTCTCGGCATTCCCTTCCCAGTGCTTATGGCCTGCAAGGACACACACCCTCCACCCCTCATGCAGTGCTGGACACCCATCACATGGAAGTTTGGGCCTGCCCCCACTCTGGCCAGTGGCCCAGCAGGGAGACAGGAGGCCCTGCTTTCATGACAGCCCCCAGAGCACATTCCCCAAGGTGTCCCAAATTCCAGGCAGCGATGCTGCTCTGTCAGGACTGCCCTCCATGGCACCTCACCGCGTTTCTGTGAATTGGCAGGCAAAGCGCCAGAGAACCAGTGCTGCGAGCCTGCTTGCCCTGGAATGCTGGGGAATTCTCTGGGTAGCGGAGTAGAGCTGGTGGCTGATGCCAGGGAAGCCCTCCTGGGCTGGGGAGAAAGGCAGGGGAGGCTCTTCAGCATCATCAGCAGGGGGCCAGCCCAGCCCAAGTCAGCCAGCCTGCCCCCCCCCCCCCCCCCGTGCACCTGGGCAAGAGGGGACTGGGAGCCTGGGGCGAGGGGCCGACTGGGACAGCGGCTCACATGCAGGGCCCTTTGGAGAAGCTCTGCAGGTGCCCGTGGCAGGAGCCCTTCCTGGCCTCTCCGATGCAGGCCTGGCGCAGTGGCGGCCACAAGGCCTTGGCAAGGTGCTGCTGGGGGAGGGAGTCCTGGGCAGCCAGGCCAGCGCCAGTACCAGGCAAAGGGCGCCCTCAGGTTGCTCCACTACGCCTGCAGCCCAGCCAGGTTGGGAAGCAGCCTGGGGAGAGGTGAGGGCAGGTGGCCGGCCGGCCCTGTACCCAGCTGCTCGCCAGGAGCCCTGCTCACCCGCTGGGCGGGGGGAGGCTTGTGGCCCGGGCTCAGCGGCTCTGGCGGGAGCAGGAGCCCTTCCTCAGCAGGCTCCTGCTCCCGCCCCTCACGGCCCCCCCGTTTGCCCCTGGTCAATAGGAGAGCCCGCCCCCTTCACCGGGGAAGAATGGGGCAGGGCGCACGGGGATGCCAGCCCCGGTCCGGGTTTCTGGCAGGGGGCTTGGGAAGCCGAGCGCCTCACTGGGGCGCAGCCCTCCCAGGGCCCCCTCCCCTTTCTGCAAGCAGCGGGCGGGGGTGGGGGGCGACGCTACCGCTGAAGGAGCGCAAGAACCGAAGCAGGGCGCCGGGTGAGCTCTGCGGGAGCAGCGGCGGACCGCAGCCGAGGAAAGCGCGCCCAGCCGCGCACCGCCACCCGGGGCACGTGTCCGCGCTCCGGGACGGCGCTGCCCGCTCGGCGCCACGCGCGGGGCTCGCCGGCCCCAGCAGCCTTCCCGCCGCTGGACCGGCGGCCGGGCACGCGCGCTCCACGGCCCTGGGCGCGGCCTCCGCCCCGCCCCGCGCTCTCCCGGCCGGCCGTGACGTGCGGAGGGCAGGGCAGAGCGAGGCAGTGGCCAGGGGCGCGCCGAGGTGCGGCCGGACAAGCCCGGGGCAGCCGCGCCGCTCCTGCCCGCTCTCCTCAACCTGGCCCGGCGAGGGAGGCGCCGCCGGGGATGCGGCTGGGGCAGCGGCGCGGGGCTGGAACCGGCGCCCCGAACTTGGACGGCGCGCGCTGAGGAGGCCCGCGAAGCCCTTGTCCCCGGGCGTCCCGAGCCGCCCCTGCCCGCTTGGCCCGCCCGGAGCCGGCGCGAGAGAGCGCGGAGCGGCGCGCAGGCGGTGGCGCCTCCAACTCCTCCCTCGCCTCCCCCCGCTGGCCACTTTCGCGGCGGCGGCGGCTGCTTTCGGCGGCGGCCGCCAGAGCTAGCCGCGCTCCGTCGAGGTCGGGCGGGCCGGGAGCGCACGGAAGCGCGCGCCGGGGCGGGCAGCGCGGCGCCGGAGGACCCGGCTCGCAGTCCTCGTCGTCGGAGCGCTCCAGTCGCCGCCGGGGCCAGCGCGGAAGATGCTGCCGGGGCTGCCGGGGAGCCTCGCGCCTCCCCCGCGCAGGAGCTGAGGACCGCGGCGGCCGGCACGCCGCTTCTGGGGCGGCGCTGCTTGGGAGAGGCGCCCCTCGGCGCCGGGCTTGCGGCCGGGATCTGAGAGCCGCTGCGCGCGACTGGGCTCGCCTGCCATGATCGCGCCCGGCGCCTTCTGCCTCCTGGTCTCCTTGGGTGAGTGCAGGCGGCGGGCGCCCGGCGCCGCTTGCCCGGGCGCCCCGAGCGGCGGCGGGGAAAGGCGGCGGACGCGGTGCCGAGGAGCCGGGGGAGGGCCGGGAGCGCCGCGGCTGCGCCTGGGCGGCTCTCCTTGCGTGTCGGTGCGCGCGCGCGGGGCGGGCGGAGGGCAGGAGCCGCGCCGCGCCGCGCCGCGAAGTTGCCTGGCGCACGGAGCCTTCGTCGGGCGGCGGCGCCGCTGCCCGGCCGGGCGGGGAGGACAGCGGCGTCTTCGGGGACGTTGGCGCCGCCGGGCCCGCCCGCCTGCTTCTCCTGCCGGAGTCGCTACCTCCCAAGGTCAGGTCGCAGCGCCCCACTCCCCGGGGAGAGCGGCGCGGGGCGACGGCGCGGACCGCCTCCGTTGGAGCGGCTCTCCAACGGAGCGGCGGCAGCTCGGCGCTTCTTCGGCCTCGCTGGGGCAGCGGAGAGGATGGGGACCGCTCCCGCGGGGCGCCTGCCCGGCCGTGCGGGGTGACAGTCTCGGGGGCGCCCCCCACCTCGCCGAGCCGCGGGCGCCGCTGCTCCCGGCTCGCCGGCCGCTGGGGGCGTGGCAGCTCCCGGGGGCCGCCGAGCCCCGCGCGTGGCGGGAGGGCGCCCCCAGGGGCTCCTCACCGGCCCCTGGTCGGCCGCCCTGGCCGAGAACGGGTGAGACGGCCCTCGCCGCTCGGGGTTGCGTGAGTGGCCACGGGAGGCCCTGCAGAGGGGGCTGCCTTGATGCCTGGCAGCAGAGCGACGACGGGGGTGGGGGAGGGAGGCGGGGGCCAGGGGCCCCGTCTGCAGCTTGGCCGAGGAGGAGCAGGAGGAAGAGGCGGCCTTCCTCGCAGCTGCCGGGCACGGGGCCCCGGGACACCAGGGGAGGCTGGCGTGCGCACTCGTGCCTTGCTCCTCTGGGCTTGGCTTCGCGAGGCACGCGCCTGGCCGTGGAGGCGATGTGGGGCCAGGCTTTGCTGCGGCTCCCATTGGCCTCTTGTGCCAGGGCCACTCGTGGTTACTCGTCCCACCCCCACCCCCCACCCCCCTTTGCAGGCCTCCTGAACCTCTTAGTCGGCTTCTCCTACCACCCCTGCAACTTCTTTCTTGGATTTGGAGGCCGCTGGTGGGGCAGTCCTGGCCTGGGGGTTGTGTTGTCTGGCCCGCGTGAGCAAGAGCACAAGCACAGCAAGGCGGAAAGAGGGGTGGGCCTGTGCTGGGCCCCAGGTGGCCGCCCTGACCGGCCGGTGCCTGGGGCTGGTGGTGATCCTGTGGGTGGCTGGCCGGCTGGCCAAGCTTGAACTGGAGTCTGTGGCCCAGAGTGGGCTGGACTGGCTGCCTCCTTGCAATACTCTCCAATGTCCATCCTGGCTGAAAGGTCTCGCCATGTGCAGCGGAGCATTCAAACTGTGCTCCCTCCGGGGGTGGGCTGAGGAGCACCCAAGAGCTGCAGCTGTGCTGGCTCTACCCTGCAGAAGTTGCATGCAACTGGGAAATGTCCCCTGCATTACTGAAAGCCCGCCTGGACTGCAGACTTAAGCACGCCGTTCTTGCCACCTGCCATGACATGCCGGATTCTGAGCATGAAGGCCACTTGCTCAAGGACTGAGGGCTCCCCTGCCTGGTGCCCTCCTGGCATTCCCAGCCCCTGTCCCTGCCCGCTGTGGCTGTTGGAGTTGGCCCAAACAGCTCGAGCAACAGGCTGAGGACGGCTGGCCAGTGCGTGTTGCCGTCTGCGTTGTGACCAAAATCGGCGTTTCTTGAGGTCACCCTGCTGCCGCCTGTGGGTTTCCTGATGGGAAAGGTAATCTGGGGGGGGGGGGGGGGGGGCAAATCAATTCCAGATGCCGTGCTTGGAAGAGAGAGTGACATCCAGACCCATTTAATCACAGGTTCCCAGCTTGGCTGCTCAACTTTCAGCTGCATGTGCAGCTCTGATCACAGGAATTTGGGAGGTCTTTGGGATGACTTGGCTGTCCGGAGCACTTGAAAGGGAAATGCTCTTGAGCAAGGCTGCCCAGGGCTGTCCGGAGGGAGCAGCAGAGATGCAGGGAGGGAGCCACGCCCTGCTTTAAAATTGTGTACCTCAGTAGAGAAGGGAGGGGGGCCATGGCTGGATGAAGAGGACTCCTGGGTCTTTCCAGGACACCAGCTTTTATTTCGGAAGCAGAAGAATGTGGTTGACATCCTACTCTGCAGAGTGAAGAGGAATTTGCTCACAGTGCTGAGCTGCCTCCAGGCGAAGGAGATCTTGCACCTGAAGGCAGCAGGCATTGCCCAGCCGGTCCACCTTTTTTCTTAAAGGATTCTCTCTGGTATGGAAGAAGCAGCAAGATGCCTGGCAAAGCACAAGAAAGTTCCATGTCTTCTGGACTCATAAAATCCTTCGAGGTGATGGGAGTCTTACCTGGAGGTGCCTCTTGTGGTTCTCCGGGCCACCTCCTGTTGACCAGCAGGACTAGCCAAGTCTTTACTGCAGTGGCATTCAGGAGGCAGCGGCGGCTTTGCTCCAGGATCAGTGCCCCAGCAGGAGCTGCCTGTCGGTTAGCCGCCTCACGGGGCAGGAGCTGAGCTCGGCCGCCTCGAGCCCAGGCTGAGCAGCTGAGTGATGCACATGGTCTTCTCGCAATCTGCGGCTCTGCCACTTAGCAGTGGGGCCTCGGAGGCGCTTTGGGGCCTGCCAGCACTGGCTGTGCCTCTGCCCAGCGATCAGTGCCCACATCTCTGTGGACTCCCAAGCAGCCCCCTCAGAAGCAACGTGGTGCTTTAGGGGCTTGGTGAGGATGACGTGAGGGGGGATGTGAGGGTGCCGGATGCTTGGGTTGGCTGTTGCAGGGAAGAAAGGTCACTTTCTGGCCCTCTTCTTTCCAGTGCTCTTTCTGGCTTATGGTGCTCCTCTCCACTGCTGGAGCATAGTCTTCTCTTCTTATAATTTGGCAAGCAAGTGATCCCTCCTGCTGAAAAGCCCCCTCCTTGGGGAGCTCAGGAGCTGCTTGTGTCCTTTGCCCCAGCAGCTACTCCGTGATAGCATAATGTGAATCTGGCTGCTTCCACCTCCTGGAAAGGGCCTGAGGCACAGGTGGTCGTCACTGGGAGCAAGGGGGGCTGTGCATACAAGCAAAAACTGAGCTTATTGGAGGTCTCCAAGCTGCACCTTGAAACTCATACCCTTTTGTGTCTGTATCAGATTGTGAGCTTTGGTTTTTTTTCTTTGCACATGACAGGGTATGCATTTTTGTGCCTAGTTTTACAAATATACACACAATTGATTTCACCTTTGAAGTGAACACCATCTTCCCCTGTTAGTTAAAGCATGTATGTTTGCAGTTTTCAGATGCATGCCTTTTTCCCTGCGCGTTTCCCAAATGTTGATCAAAAATGAATGAAATCCCTCCTGCACTGGCTGCTGCATCAGGTGCTTGGCTCTGCTGCTCTGGGTGCCAGTGGTGAGACGGCGCTTCCGGCCACGTCCTCCGTTCTGATCGTGCCCCGCGCTGCAGGAAGGCACGTGCTTCCTTCCTTGCAGCTCCAGGGCAATTGTCTTGCCATTGTCTTGTCCTTCAGATTATTCATCCCTGGGCTTAAGGGTGGTGGCCCCCACTGTCAGCCACCTGGCTCCAGAGAAACATTGTGCCAGACAGCTGGGCCTTGGGGCACTTGACTTTTGGGCGGTCCCTGGAGCCTTCGGTGGGGAATGGAGGCAGATGCTGGCAGGGGCTCACCGGATGAGATTGGCGGGGCTGGGGATGGTGGCAGGCCAAGTGCCCTGTGGAACATGGGGGAGAAGATGCTTCGGGTCACCAGGCACTGAGGGGCCTCTGCCTCTCCAAGGGCAGAATTCCCACCTGCCTTTAGGGGGCGTTGCCTCCCTTCTGTCATGGGCAAGGGCCGGTCTGGCTGGCGGAGGAGGCAGCCGGGGGCCCTCCAGGTGAGCAGCGAGGCACAAGAGGCCGAACAGCAAATCTGCGTGTGCGGATTGCCAGGAACCCAGGCGGGCGGGGGGGCTGCCTCCTGCAGCTCCCCTCTCTCCCCGAATGGTCCTCCCAGCCAAGGAGGTGCCACATCCAACACAAGCAAAGCTTCTCTAAACCCAGGAGTTTGGTAATTGGGGGTGTGAGGGACGTTTGGCCCAGGGTTTTCCTTCCCACAGGGTGCTGCCTTTGGGCAACGCTGTCGAAAGGGAGGAGGGGCCGCATTGGCCCAGTTGGTGGTCCGCTGGGACAGAACTTGGCTCAGCGCTGGGCGAGCAAGCAGAGGGGTCCGGTCTGGGGGTGGTGGGCATGTGGGCAGTGGCGGAGGCCCGGCCCAGGCTCTCCACTGCCCCCTGGAGATACCTGTCTCTTCACCCCCTTCTGCCTTCTCTCCCGTCCAGGCAAGCTGCTCCTCACCTGGGCCGGCCCTCCGCCCCCCACGGCCCCGGACTCCCAGGGCTGGCAGGGCCCCGTGGACTGTGTCCGCGCCAACGAGCTGTGTGCTGCCGAGCCCGGCTGCAGCTCCCGCTACCGCACGCTGCGCCAGTGCGTGGCTGGCCGGGACCGCAGCGCCATGCTGGCCAGCCGGGAGTGCCAGGCGGCCTTGGAGGTGCTGCAGGGGAGCCCACTGCGTGGCTGCCACTGCAAGCGTGGCATGCGGAAGGAGCTGGGCTGCCTGCAGGTCTACTGGAGCATCCACCTCGGCCTGGCCGCAGGTAGGGCCCGCGGGGGCACTGGGGTGTCGGACGGCAAGCAAGGGGCAGGGGGGTGCTGCGGAGGGGGCAGAGGGGGAGGACGCGCCCCACACTGGCCAGGAGGCGCAGCAGTAGCAGTCACATGCAGCACGAGCGGAGGGAGGGAGCCGAAATGCGCTTCACCCATGAAGGATTCGACCAGCGGCAACGTCATTAGTGTCATTGCCCGACTCTCTTACTCGTCTCACTCCTAAAAACAGCTTACAATGGCTCACGACAAAGCTGTTCAAATGTACGAAATACCAATGGCGTGAACAGTCAGCACTTCCAGTGCCCAAGCACCGCAAATCCACAAGGACAGTGGGCCGGCTGTGGCCAGGCAGCGGATGCATGACCGAGCCCCCAGGTCCACAGGGGCCTGGGAGCAGAAGCCCTCGGCCTGGCACTGGGGCACTGCCCCTTCTCCCAGGATGCTCCTCGTGGCTGGCCCTTCGCTGCAGCCGAGGACCTGCTTCCTCGCCGGGCCTGTAAGCTGGGAGCACCCAAGGCCCCTGGCTCTCTTCGGCCTGCCGGGGACCGTCGAACAGAGCCCCCGCCCCGCAGCCTGGTGTGGCCTCAGGCAGGGGAGGAGCGGGGGCTGCAGGGCCTGGCGCATGCATGTGCTTGATGAGCAAGCCCAGTCTATCCCTATCCGCTGGCTGTTGATCCTGCCCGGCAAGCGGAAGCCTTCCTGGAAATGAAAAGCATTCGGAACTGTCCCCATGCACTGCTGCGGGGGCCTCGCTTGGCCCTCCCCCTGCCGCCCTTGCATGCTCGGGGGGACGCAACCTTTGGACCGAGAGGGGCTTGGGCAGGGTGGCCCCGGCCCCAAGGAGTCCCTCCAAGTCCGCCTTTGGATGGGGGCGTGAAAAAGCCCGGAGCTGGTGCTGCTGTGGCGTCCGCGCTGCCCTTCCGCAGGGCGCTCCCCTTCAAAGGTCCTCCAGAGGGACGCCTCTCCTGAGCTCAGACTCGCTGCGGCTCGGGGGTGCCATGGGCCTCGTGGGTGTGTGAGGCCCCTCACAGGCATCCCTCCTTGAACGCAGGACCACCCCGGGCGGTGGACCATTGGCCAGCCTTCCCGGAGTGGGTGTGGAAAGAGGTAGGGAGGGAGTCCGCAAGAGAGCAGTGTCTGAGGGGAGCCCGTCCCCACACGTGTGGGCCCACCGCCCTCCTGCGCACCCGCTTCTGCCTGGGGAGGACCAGCTGGAGGCGCTTGGCTGCTCTGTTACCTGTGAGGTGCTCAGTCCCTCCCTCCCTCTCTCTGTCTCTCTCGTCCTTCCTCTCCAGGGGAAGAGTTTTACGAAGCTTCGCCCTACGAGCCGGTCACCTCGCATCTCTCCGATATATTCAGGCTTGCTTCAATCGTCTCAGGTAATAAAGATGCAGCACCACAGGCCGCCTCCCGGCCGTCCTGATAACAGAGTGCTTCGTGAGGGTCTCCAAGGCGGTGCCCCCCCCCCCCATGGGGCCAGGCAGTCTGTGGGGACCTTCCTGGGCCCTGGACATTCTGCTCCTCTCCTGATTTTTACTTCTTCCTCGCATCTGAGGGGCCTGTGCATACTGGGCCGGGGGGAACATGGGGCAAAGCTGTGCCTTCGCTGCTTGGCTTCAAGCAACCCTTTGGGATGGAGCGTCGTCCCACTTGGGCCTTGGCTTTGGCCCGGGGCGAGCAGCTTTTCTTTCACTCTTACCAATCTGCCTACCAAGAAGTGAGCATCTTCTGATGTTTTACATTTTACAACACTCATTCACAAAGCATCAGTTCATGGTAGACCTGGAGGGGCCGGGAAGGGGCCAAGAACGTCGTCAAGCCCGACCTCAGAGAAGCATGAAGAGGAAAAGTGTTCTGCCAGGTGCATGGAGCACTGCTGTCCAGGCGAAGGCACCCATTTCCAGCGGCGAATCCTGCCCGTGGGCGGCCTCTTGCAGAAGCCCCCAGGCAGCACAAAACAGCCGAGATAATGAGGCAGCTAGAAGGGGGCTTTCCCCTGGTGCCGCCCCCACTTGGGAGCTCCCCTCTGCACATCGCCGCTCACGTCGCCGCAGAAGGTTCCTGGCACCCAAACACCCCGGATGAAGACTGAAGTGACTGGCCAGTCTCTGGGGGAAGGGGGCCTCCGACCCTTCAGGAATGGACGTCCAAGGAGCAGCACCTGGACGGGGGCCTGGTAGCCAGCCAGAGTCTTCCTGGACATCCAACAGCAAAGCTGCCCTCAGCAACGCCCCTGCCTGCAGCTCAGATGGCCCAAAATCCCTCCTTGGGCACAGTCTTGGTTCTTCAGGCTGGCGTCCAGGAGCCGCCGACAGGACAGAGCAGCCCAAGGGAGCAGGAGCTGTCCCACACCGGAAGGCTGACTTCCCTCTGGGCAGGTGAAGCGGAAGCAGATCGGCTGGATGCCCCCGCGACTTACAGGTGGGAGCTGCAGCAGCTGTTGTCCTTGCCTGGCATGACCTGCGCCACCTTGCGCTGCGAGGAGAAGAGAGCCACTCCCTGCCGGCCGGGCCAGGGATGCAGGCTGCTCCGCCGAGCCGCCTGGCGGAGGAGTCCTACACGCCTGGGTGAGGAGGACGTCTCCTTGCACGGGCCTCTTCACCTGGGACTTGGCCAGGGTCTGAGGGTCCAGATAATGACTCTGGGGAAACAGTCCAAGTGCCTCCCTGCCTGTGAGCATCTCTGCTTGGTTAAGGGGGGAAAGACCGAATCGCTTCGCAAGACTGGGCGTGTGAGGAATCCAGAAGACGAGAGGAGCCCAGAGGCTGGATCTGGCCACGGGTCGGTCTAGTGCAGCTGCCCGCCTGTAGGAACCCCGAGTGGGGGGCTTCGCCAGCCCCTTCCCGCTGCCCCGGCAGGGCCTGGTCACGCAGGCCGCGGCCCGCCTGGGAGCATCCCGAGGGGAGGGGCTCGCTGCGCAGCTCGGAGCTCTGCTTGCTTCTGCAGACGAAGGAGGTGCCCGCTTCATCCCTGGGGGTCACACAAAGCATTCTGACTCCGTTTCCTTCTGCATCACATTGAAGGCTCCTGGAAGTTGCTGGTGGAGGTCTTAATGCCCCCCCCCCCTTGCATCCTTGTGCTGCTGCTGCTATTTTTCGGCTGTGGCTTTTCTTGGAAAAGGTGGCCTCTCCTTTGTGCTGTTTTATCAGTGGTAGTTAGCGGCTTGTTTTAAAACTGCAGTGCTGTGGAATTTTTGGATCAGCCAGGGTATATTTAAAACAATGCATGAAAGAATAGAAAAACCAGGGCTTTTTTTGTCATAGAACGCAGCGGAACGGTGTTCCAGCACCCTTTTTCAATGGATTTTACGAAGTGATTTTGATTTTGGCGTAGCAGATCGGTAGCAAACATTAACATAGTGCCTGCAGGCTGCTAGTGTCTGTGATCTGCGATCTGACAGAGAGAGATAGCTGTTTGGGACACTGCTGGCTTGGGATTGGTGTGTGTGCTTTCCTGAGTTCTGGCACCTTTTTTTTTTTTTTACCAAAAAAAAAAAAAACACTGAGAAAAACATGTACATAGATGGATTGTGTCCTCCTCCTGCATTTTGTAAACAAGTCAGAGATGTTCTGAGAAAACGACATTTCCCCGAAACCCGGAGGACATGCAGCCAGCACCGGGTCTCAGGGTACAGAGGGCATTTCCCATGCTGCTGTGTCACTTGGGGGCAGGCTGGCCCTTGGACTGACCTTTCAGTGCATTTGCGGAGTGTGCTAGGGCACAGAAGGCCAGGCCGTGACTGTGCCGTCGCCCATGGATTGGATGGGCCATGGGCTGTGGCCAGGGCTGGGGAAGGGGGCCGGGCTGGCTGTGGGCTCTGGCTTGCCCTGAATGCTGGACCACGGAGCGGGATGCACTCATGCAGCCAGCTCCGTCTCTGAAGAATGCGCCATAGATCGAGCTGCCTTCAGGCAGAGGAATCTTTGGGTCCCTTCCATCTCCGTAATTGTATGGACAGGAAATCTGGCTTGACATTTTCAAGCAGATCTGCAAAACTCTTTTCCAAGAAATGTAGCGCTTAGATTCTAGTTGACAATAGTTTTCTTTTTCTGCTCTGAATTAAATCACCATCAATAAACTATTTAGTTGGTGGAAAATAGGAACTGTGCTGCATTTGGCATCAAGAAGCATTAGCTCTTGGATGTATTTATTCTGCATCTCGACACTGAAAATGTTTTCAGGATGTGTGGGGGGGGGTGGGAGGAAAGAAGAAGCTAAATGCTGAAGCGTGTCACTTTCCTAGTTCCACGGGTATGTAAAGCGATTACCCTCAGGTTGGATCCAAAGGCAGATGCGGAAAACATGTTATTTAAATTTCAAAAACTGCAGCTCCTTGCCCAACAGCTGTCAGACCGTCTAAGTCTCAGCACAAAGCAGGTTAGAGATGCTGCTTCGTCTCGCAAAGCTTTCCTTTCAGAAAGTCGCTGCCCTGTGGGATGCACCGGCCCCTTCTGGCCCCTGGACTCAAAGGCAGATCACCCAATTCCTGAGGGCTTCTTCCTGTGCTTCAGGACAGAATGGTCCAGCCACTGCTGCCTCCCTGCCAAATCTTCACACTGCTTTGTCCATCTTTCTTCTCACCACCAGCCCCAAAAGAGCCTTTCTGAAGAGGGACTGTTGGGCGGCATCTCCTGGTCAGCCCGCCGGAGCGTGCTGCCCCTGTGTGTTCCCGGCCGGATGAAGGCCGGCAGCTCCATTTTCTCATTCCTTCCATGTGCCACGAGATGGGCTGCCTTTGGGAAGAGCTCTTTGGGGTGCTTTGGTGCGCTGTTCCCCCAGGCACTGGGACACGGCGCTGCCCTGACTGTCCTTGCTAGCCTGCCTGGGCTACCAGCCAGCAGCACGGGGCCTATGTTGCGTGTTGGGTGTACCGGTTGGGCAGTCTGAACGCTGGCTGAACCTTTTGGCTGGCCTGGACAGAAGTTCTTCCGCTTCCCAAGGCACTCTGATTCGTTCCACGTAACGGACGTGATCTTGTGCGCGCCCCTTCGTGGCAAATCCCAGCCCAAGAAAAGAATGCTTGGATCAAACCTGCCCTGCCAGCGAGGACTTCCAGGCGAGGAAAGGAGGGTGCCGCAGGAACAACGCTTATTGTGCGGAGCATGTGGCGTGCTTTTAATTTGATGCTGTGCTCGCAGCTGGAACCAGGCCAGCTTTGTTCCTCGGGAAAGCTGCTGGAGGGAACGGCTGGACTTGGTGGGAACAGGAGCAGGGGTCCCCTGCATCGCCTGGGAGGGGCGGCTGTGCCAGCAATTCCGGCTTAGCCTCCTGGACTTGGAGCGAGGCAGTTCTTCCCCTCGGCTGTTTCCAGCCTGTGAGAAAGCCCCAGTGCCGCTTTTTGGATCCACCCATCAGGCACCTCGCCGGACATCCAGAGCAGGTCTGGGGCAGTTCCTTGGAGCAGCCGTTCGGTCACGGCACTCTGCCCATCTGGGTGCTCACAAGAGCCTTCATGTGTCTGCTTCTGTGCCGCTTCAAATGTCAAAGGTGCAGTGTGAATTGGCCTGAGCCAGGCTGCACCTGTGAAGGAGGGAGGGGCTGGGTGCGTTTGGCTAGCAGAGGCCACGCGGCCCCCTCTTTGTGCACCCAGAAGCTGCCCCGTGGTTGGAGGAGCAAACGGGCTCATGGTGCTGCAGAGCTCAAGTGGTGGGCTCCCATGCCGCAGGAAGCACTCGAACCGTGCCTGAGGAAGTGGTCGCAGGCCCCAGAAGGCAGTGGCCCCGTTGCGTGGGAGAGGAGCCAGCCAGCTCAAGGGGTGCTGCAGCTGGGCAGGGACCGGCTCCGAGGCCCGAGGCTGCCCCGGCACCTCGAATGCTGAGCTTCAGGACCCAGCAGGGGCTTGGAGTGCTGGAGGGAAGGCCGGGTGGCCAAGCCCCCTTCTCCGTGCAGACCGGGTGTCTTTTGGAGGAACTGTGAGGGGGCCCTGCAACCCCAGCGCTTCAGGCGGTGGTGCAGACAGCTGCGGGGGGGGGGGGCAGCTGCAGGGCCTGACCTGCCAGGCACGAGCGCAGGGCAAATGGGGCAGCGGGCAGCATGCCGCAGGGTCCGCACTTGGCTGCCTGCCCGGCTCTTGCACCCTTTACGCTCTTTCACTGTTGCAATAAGGGTTTCGGTATGCTTGCTGTCTTTTTGATGTAACCTGTCCCAAGTTCGTATGCGAATATGATGGCATGTACACATTCCAAATCAGTGGGGCACGCTGCCTGCCCTGGCGCTGACCCGCCGCCTCTCTCCCGGGCAGGAATGGACCCGGCCGCCAGCCCCAGGAGCAACCGCTGCCTCGACGCGGCCAAGGCCTGCAACCTGAACGACAACTGCAAGCGGCTGCGCTCAGCCTACATCTCCGTCTGCAACAAGGCGGTCTCCACCACGGAGCGCTGCAACCGCCGCAAGTGCCACAAGGCCCTGCGCCAGTTCTTCGACCGCGTGCCCAGCGAGTACACCTTCCGGCTGCTCTTCTGCTCCTGCAGGGACCAGGCCTGCGCCGAGCGCCGCCGGCAGACCATCGTCCCCGACTGCTCCTACGAGGACAAGGAGGCGCCCAACTGCCTGGACCTGTGGAACCAGTGCCGCTCGGACAACCTCTGCCGGTAAGGCCACGGCAGATGGGCGTGTGCCAGTAGGAGCAGCAGCCCTGGGTGGGGGCTGGGGGTCCGGAGAGGCCTGCATCTGGCCCTCGGCAGCAAGCTGGCTGCACGTGGGGCCCGCAGCCAGCTCTGGTCTCGCGCGATGCCACGGGCCGCAGCCGCTAGGGAGAGGAGGCAGGGCGTGGGTGTGGAGAGCTGTCGCTTCCCAGTGGGGGCCAGCAGACAGGGCTGGCGCAGCTGGTGGGAGGCGGCACCCCGTCCAGTCCCTCCTCGCCAGCTCCCGCAGCCACGGCTCTTGTTCGCCAGCTAAGGTGGGAGGGCTGGAGGAGCTGGAGGGGCGAGGAGGCCAGAGCCTTCCCGAGCAGAGCCACCCGCCCGGCCTGCTGGCAGGTGACGAGAGCCTCTGGCGCCTGCGAGCCGAGCCCAGCCTCTGCTTCCACCGAGAGAGCCCCTCTCCTCCTCGGCGGGCTGCTGGCATGCCCAGCGAGGCAAAGAGTGCCGGGCTTGTCTGGCAGGGCGGCCGGAGCCCTTGCAGCGGGTCAGTCAGGCCAGCCACGTGATGCGCGGTCATGGCTGGAACGCGTCGGAGGAGGTCAGCCGGGGCAGAGTCACAAGTGGTGTCACAAGGAGGCATCAAGTGGCTGTCCAGAGGGAAGCCTCGCTGGCGTGTGGCGTGTTGGCTGCATTCAGACTGCCCCGCCTGCCTGGCTGCCAGATCTCCCTGGGCCCTCTCCCCACTGTCTCGGCTGCGCCCATTCCAGGAGGCCAGCTGGCCCAGCGGGAGTGGAAGGCAGGGGTCCGGACAGCCCCGGCACTTGCCTGGGCTTTGGGTCAGGTGCTTGGACCTTCCTTCTGCCCAGCAAAAGCTGCCTGACTGAGGCCACCCACACAGGCTGGTGGTGTGCCTGGGCCATCCTCCCTGCATCCTGCGGGAGTCAGTGTGGGGGCCACAGGGACACTCCTGCTTCCCTTCCACGCACGTCTGAGTTGATCCCACTGGGGAACTGAGGGCGGCTTGCTCTGGCCAGGGAGTGGGACAGTTGGAGTGGGTGGCCGGTGACAGCAGTCCTCAGAAGGGCCTGAATTTGGCTATCTTCCCATGCCAAGGGCATGGTTGCTTTTGGAACATCCCACACTGGCTAGAGCGGCGCATACACTTCATGGCTTCCGTCCGGCCATCCTTCCGTGCACAGCCTTTGCCCACGGGGACAAGCCGTAAGCGCAACGTGGAGGTGCAGAGGCCCCTTGCTTGCCTTGTGCCCAAGAGCCCCAGGAGGGGACCCGGAAACGGTTCCAGCCAGGAGGGGCAAGAGCACGGTGCTGCTTGGCCTTCCTGAGGAGGGCAGGAGGAGCGTGCTGGAGGGATGACCCAGAATGGTGGGCAGGATTCCCAACCGGGAGCTGGAAAGGCCAAGTTCAACCCACTGGGGGTCAGTTTAAAAGCGAGGAGAACTGGGGAGGATTTTCACAAAGCGCTTTAAATCTTCGGTGAACACACTGTGGAAAAGGCAACACCCGAGCGGCATACGTGATTTTTCAGCAAGGTTCTTTCCACTTTAGCAGCATTTATACATGGCCCAGGGAGCAACAGAGAAGCTCATGTGCGCTTCTTCGTGTCACGTCTGACAATGTGCTTTCGCTTTCGGCGGCAGTTGCAGATACTTTGCTGTGGGTCCTTTGCTCTGCAGCAATTCAGGATGTGAGGCGAGTGGGCTGTGGCGCTGCCCCCCCCCCCCCCCCCCCCGCTGAACTGCTCCCTCCACGGATGCCCCACGTCTCCCGGCAGCCGCAGAGAGGTCTGACATACTCCGTGCATGGAGGCTCTGATTGCACTGGACAGGTTTTAGCTCCCAGGATGTAAAAGCTTTTGCAGAGCGTAACCTCGGCTGAGAGGAAAGAGAAGCCAAAGGAGAGAAAGAGCTGATTTCAGCAGCTGCAGTTTGCTCTATTTTTCATCTTGCATCAGCAAATCAGAGCCGCAAATAATCTGCTCTTCGCATGCTTCGCTGATGCTGGCTCGGAAAAATTTCCAATCTTCTCCCGTGCTGTACTGCACAAGTCTCCAGAGGCAGGGAGCAGCCTTCATGTCTCATCGGCATCTTTCTCCACTTGCAAATGGCACTTGTTGCTCAACAAAAGAAACTCAGAAGGGAAGTGGTCCTAGCCGACTCCCAGAGAATGCAGTTCCAGGCGGGGACTTTCTGACTACTGCCCCGGCCGTCAGCCTCTGCTTGCACCATCAGCAGGCCACGTAACGTGTAACTAGAACCAGGCCAGTGTGGTTCATGTAATGTGGGGCCTGGAGGGGCTGCTTGCAGGCTCAAGCTTGAGCCTGGGAGTAAAGGAAGCAGCTGTTCCTAGTGGGCAGAAGCATCTGTCCTCCCCAGCGGCCCTCACATGCCTCCCTCAGCTCTGACCCACCAGACCACGGGCACCTTAAGGGGGTGTTCACAGGTAAAGATGATCGGTGGAAAGTTGCGTCAGTGCCTTGCTCGGTCACCCAGCAGCCCTGGTGTGGCAGAAGCAACGCCTCCGTGGCAGGATGTCAAGGCAGGACTCCCCTGCATTCCGCTCATCAGGAAGCTCCAGACACATCACGAGATCAGTTGGGGTTCTTGTGCAGAGTTGGGCCCAGTGAAGCAGGCAAGCACAGCAGCTGGAAAGGTTTCCATATCCTGGATGTTTTGAATGCATGGCGTTGGCTGGTGCCATGATCAAGCGGTCGAGGCTGCCTGCACTTGCCAGGCGGCAAGCTTGGCTGTCGGTAGGAATAGTCCGTGCCAGGAGGCCTTTGCCCAGCTGGCAGAGCTGTCTTCTCCAGGAGAGCATGCGGTCTTCTCTCTGTGGAACGCTTAAGCGCAAACTCTCCCTTCTTGTGCATCACGGAGGAAGAATCTGCAGGATTCCGCTCTACTTTAGGAAATTCCTGGCTGCTCTGCATAGATCAGGGACTGTGGTTTAACAGAAACAAGACTGGAGAAGATCAGTAAACAAGTCAGCAACAAATTCTGGGTTGTTTGGTGTCTCCTTGAACCAACAAGATTTTATCTTAGATCATAGTCCTCGATTATACATCACAGGAGCCTGATAAAGAGAAATGGATTTCCGGCTTGTTTCTCCTTCTGGCCAGAGAGGCAAAGAGCAGAGGGGTCGTCTGCAACATGGCCAGCCCTTCATGCCGGGCACTTTCTACTTGTGCACATCGAGCTCACCGAGGGGGCGGTGTCGTGTGTGCGCACGGCCGTGCTGAGTGTCTGCCAGAGCCAGAAAGAGCCAATGATGCCTCCAGGGCCAGTCGGTGTGGCTCGTGTGATGAGGGGAAGAGCGCTGCTTGCGGGAGCAATCCTCCTGGCTCCCGGGGGAGGCGTCACATCCCACAGCAGGTCTCGCAGGCTCCAAGGAGGCAGCGTTCTCTTCTTGGAAGAGAAACAACACCATGGTTGATGTGAAAAAACTGCGAGAGCGGACGCAATCCCTGCCACCAGTTGCTGCGTGCCTGCTGCATCGGGGGCCGTAGGGCCTTGAGTGGGGGAGCGGTACGCACGTGGCAGGAGTGTGCGTTGCGCGCCACAAAAAGGGGAGCGGTGGCTCCCAGCGCGGGGAGAGGAGCTGAGCCGTTGCTGGAGCTTGATTTTCCGGATTGGCTGGGTGAGCACTGCACGCGTGCTGGCCCACCTGCTCCGGCTACAAGCCGGAGAGCCCGAGGTGGGCACTTGCCAAGCTGGGCGTGGAGGGCGGCCCTGGCAAACGCCCGGGCAGAGGCTTGGGTGGCTACGGGGGGCTGGAATGGATCGACCTGGGAGCAATGGAGAACGGCGTAGGGAGGGAAAGCTGAAGGCGCCACGCCTTAATTTGAAAAGCATGGGCTTGGACTGCCCTTGGTGTTTCCAGCTTTGCCCCCCATTCCAAAATGTGGCATGGAGCTGAAGCTGCCAGGCGTTCTTGAGTGATGCAGTCGTTCAGGACATTACATCTAGGGGAGCTGCTGAGACAGCTAGTGAGCTGGTATTCCCAGTCCACCCCTGTGAGACCCCCAAACTGGTCTGCACCCCTTGACCTTGGCCCTTTTTTTTCTTGGAGGGGTGGAGGAAACCACCCTGCCCAGGAACACATGCCTGGTTTTGGGTAGGCGAGACAAGACGATTCAGTGCAGGGGAGTCCACGTGCCCTTCCGATCCACTGCCGAAAAGCTTGCCATGGTCCCGCGTGCCGGCTTAGAGGCACAAGGAATCATTGCATCCTGCAAGGAGGGCGGGTGTCCTGCCTCTTCATCGAAGGCACTGCTGCGTGTGGAGAGCCTGGAATCACGGAAGAGTTGCAAGGGGCCTTGAAGGCCATTAGGTCCGACCCCTGACTGTTGCAGGACACCAGCCATGGAAGGAGCCATGCGGCCACCGGTCCTTGGATTCCAGTGGGCGGTTCCCTCATTTTTCAGGAGGCACCAGATTTCCAAGCAGATCCTGTTTAGACTCAAGCTGCAAGAATTCTCTTCGGCGCTTCAGCTCCCTTGCTCAAGGCTAACCATCGTCTTAGCACCATACAAGTCAATCCTTGCTGAATAATTAAATAGAGATCTTTCATAAGTATTGACTTAATTTGACAGCAAGTCCATACCAGCACAGGGTCTGCTTATGTAAACACAATCTCTTGTTCAGCTTAGTTAGCAGTTCAAAGGGACAGAGCATGCCTTCCATTACAATCAGGTGATTCATGCCTTTATCCTGGCCTTCTCTGCCCAGGTGATAAACACCTTTTGTCACAGGTGAGGGAGGCATGGGAGGGAAGGGGTGCGCGCACCTTCAGATGCACTTAGCCACAGTGGGCCAGGGGTGGGTTGCACGGCCAGCGGGGAAGCCAGCACAGAGCCACGACTTGGCCGGAGGCTTGGCACAGCCCACCTGGCCCGGAAGGCGCTGCTCCGGCGGCTGCGAGACACTTCAGTCGGTCTGTTCAGCTGCCACCTGCAGAGCAGCAAGCCCTTGTGCAGTTGGTGCAAATGCCAT